GGCTCATGAGAACTGGGTGAAGCTGAATTCCAATAGGCTATAAGCCTCTAGCTCATCAATGAACAAAACCATTGCGAATTGTCCATTTAGTGGTTGAAGACATCTTACAATGGAAGATGCTGCACAAGGAAGGCGAAGTCGTGGATGAGTCCGATGCCTGGATGGTGAGCCGCACTACTGCTCTCTAGCTGTAGCGTGCCCTTTAGGTTAATGAACTTCCCTCTGCTCGGGAATGTCGATTCTAGAAGACCACTTTCTCTACTGTGTGTCCTATAACTGTTTTCAAATTCACAAGCAAGTCTCCGCTTCAATTCGAAGAGCCTTCAGCATTTCGTGTTTGCTGTTTTTCTGAGTTCTCTGTCATTAGCATTTCCTATGGTGTTGCCTTCCGCCGGCCTCGACTCGGCACTCACCCGAGGTCTACCAGCTCGGTTTCGAGATTTGGGTGAGCACTAATCCCTATCTCCAATTCCTGAGTACATTCTATTAGAAAACTTGGCCAAGAAAAACCCTTCCCATTTGAATATCGTCTTGTGTCGTTCGCCTAGTGCTGAAGTAGCTCAGGAGGCCTTCGAACTTGGTGTGTGGCCTCTGAGCAAGCAGACAGCTCGGAAGCTATGGGAGATCATGGCGGTGAGCGGAAGTGATTCTCAAAGCCGTGACGGTTTCCTTCTAGGCCCAGTGCGAAGGCTTTGTGGTTTTGGTAATCGCCCTGCCCGCATCTGATTACTCCACTACAGGGCGAGGGCACTACCTAGGCTATGGAGTGGCTATATGCCCTGCTAACACGGAAGAAATGGGAGGCTTGGGGAGTACCTTTCCCGAAGGCTGCAAGGTGAGAACTAAGCTGAAAAAACTCATTAGTGCGTCATGGGGTAGGTCCACTGGATCGCCAAAGAGACTGAGGTGCCGTACTCAACTGCGGGTGGGCTTGTCAACACTTTGAATAACAATTATCGGATAGAGCTCACCAGAGATGGCTTTGAGGTTGATGTTGAGTAAGTGCTGGAATGAGATCGTTTCCGGGAAATTCGTTGGGAGCTGAACTTTCCTAGAAATTCGAGGAGAGAAACGTTGAAACACAAGTGAAGTTCGAAGTGCAAACGAGCTTCGGTTAAAGAAATCGTCTCTGTGTTTCAGGAATGGCATGAAGCTGCTGCAAATACTATCCCCTCGATTCGAGGCGCGGGATGTCCGTCGGTAGCGGCGCCTGGAGAACTTGTGAACTGACGTGCGCAACTTGAGTTTCGAATTGAAGTCCCGAGTTGAGTCATAGTCATATGGAGCGCGATCGGCCAAAGTGTGTCTTACAAGAAATCACAATGACTGTCCAGGAAAAAGCTCCCTGTTTAATCTTCTCCCCCCTCCGTTAACACCAAGTCTGGGCTGGGCGGACACTATCAGCCTCAATTCAACGATAAGATGCGGCGCGCGCCTAATTAGCCTGTATCGTAACGGTTTGATATCCGGTCGTTTCTTACGAGTGCGATCACTAAATAGGTGGATGCATGGACGGACATATTTACTCATTTCTCCGGCGCGTCTTTGATCGCCTCCCATGCGCAACGTCACTGTTTGGCTCCTGTTTGCGACTTCTGTTTTGCACCACGCGTATTCCATCGACTACTGTGACATCACGTGCGCCGGCGTGCCCAACTGCATATCGTCCTATTGTATGGATTGGAAGGTCCCCGCTGTTTGTCATGGAATTCAAGTCAGATCTGATGGGTCTCTCTGCTCTGCGAGCGATGGTCTTCAGAACTGTCGAGGTTCCGTCCTAAAATGTGATACAGTAACTCCTTCGCCGCCCAAGGTTACTACTGGACCGAACCATGTGACGACTTCGACTACTACGAGTGGAACTACTGCAGTAACTTCTAAGGCTACGCCATCGTTCGACGACTTGCGTGGGTCGTGGTGCAACACTTACACTGGAATCGACCCTGAAGATCTTTGGACCGTCGATTTTCTCACTTTTCATGACAATGGTGATTTATTGATCCAATCCCGAGGAGTAGCCTTCATTATGCAATACTTATGGGAAGGCAATGTTATGTATGTGTACAATGTTAGATCGGAGGGTGGGGAAGACCCTGGTTTCTCTTCTCTCCGTTTCTTTTACGCTGTAGCTGACGAGGTAGGCCAACTTACTGGCTACTCGC